CTCTTCTTCATCGACGCCCACAAGAAACGGGTGGCGAAGAAGCGCAAGATTAGTAGCGTCAGCGGCACCGACATGATGGCCACCGACACGTCCCGGCGCTGCTCGCACGAGCCCTCCCTAGACCTGCACCAGTACCTACCAGCCCTCCGGGACGCCAACGACTCGGAGGTCGACATAAATCTGAACCAATTTAACGCCAACTCCCGGGCGCTCAACAATATCAACGCCTATAACTCGATGACAGCGGCCAACCAGTTGGAGCTGATCCGTAACGCCCGTACCTCCCGGTCCAACAGCATATTCAGTACGACAATAGGCGGTCCCATGAACGGGGAGTTGACGTGCATTTCGGAGGAAATCATTTTGGATAACCTGTTGGAGGACTCGATGCTCGACGAGTGTATCACGTCTTGCAATAAAGGCAACAAATATCTGGCTTTAAGTGAATTTGAGAACAATTTGAATGATATGTCCGAAGAGGCCAAAGCCATCATCCGGAAGCAAAAGGCCAGGCATGAGGGGGTGGCGGGCGAGGGGTTCGTGTTGGCCGAGCACGAGGACGACTGTCCCCTGTCTAAGGCCAAGGCGTTGGCCGACAAACACAAGTTGACGACAAATCCGCTGCAGAAGAATCATATGACGGCCCGTCAGAGGAGGGCGTCGTTCGCCGGGATGACGACGACCACTACCGGCGCCTCCAAAGTGGGGAATAATGTGGTGATGAATGGTGGGGCCGAGGATCAGATGATAGGTGACCCGCATAGCCATCATAACTCGTGTCCCAATTGCGGCGATCAGATCAAAGACAGCTCGCAATTGATTAGAGAAAAGATAGCGGAAGAAGAGGAGGAAATTGATGAACAAGAAGAGGACAGCATTAATGTGTAGACCATTAGCGATGATAATTGCGATGATAATTGACTTTTCGATGTCTATTTTGCCACAAATTGGATCATATGTTTGCTATTAATAATATACAGTATTATTGTTGCTATCGATGAATGTCTTAAGGAGTGAATGGTTTTTACGTGAGATTCCTATTGAATCCGATATTCACTTACTGTTACCCTAAGAGATATAAAATACAAATTTTTATTGATTGCCGTTATTATATGCTATGTTTTGTTTTATTATGGAAAATTACCTTTTATGAATTATTATAATAAAATTTATAATTATTGTTTTAATTTGTTTTGTGATTTTTATTTGCATTTATTATAAAATATTATATACCTGTATAAGTTATATGATATATATATTTTTGTTGTTTAAGTTATTGTTATTCACTGTATATAAGGAATAATTTGAACAAATATTACCCCAAAAAAATATTTATTGAATATTTGAAGTAATCTCTTATATATATAATGTTTAACTCTTTATATAATAATCAGTTTTTAAGCTGAAATTCAAACTCATTTCTTAACCATATCTGTGATCTGTTTTGATTGTCATATAATAAAAATACTGCCAATCGTTAAAATATATATATAAATTAAATCCTTATTTAAAAAACAAATGTATTTTATAACAAATTAATTGTTGTCTAACTATAAGAGTATAATCCAAATGTGTTTTTGCTTTATTCAATGCATTCATTATAAGTTGTATTTATCAAAACCAAAATTCATAGAGTATTAGATTAAAAACTTTAAACTATTTAACTGGGTAATACTCAATTATAACAATTCATTTATTTTAGTCAATCACTTGTTGAGATACATTGTGACTAAACTATACACAAAAGATTTATATTGAAAAAGATTCCTGTACCATTAATAATGATAATATACTAAAAGTAAACACTTAATCAACATTTTATGATAAATGACTAGAAGTTTCCAATTTGCATAAAATCATCAAGGCATTAAACGCTCATTTGCACTCAACTCAAGATTACAAATGTATAATATTTGAGAAACAAGAATATTATACCAAAAATTCAATACTGTATCACATATTAGACATAATACTGTAGTTTAAAACTTACAAACATAACTAAAATAGCACTATAAATCTCACTATGAAAAAGTTTACAACCCAGATATAATCTGATATCAACATCATACCTGTGCTACTATCTAACAAACAAACTATTAGCCCAACAATTGCTTGACATACAGTCTACCAGAGCTCATATAAGGCACGGGTAGCTCGCAATTGCCTATAATTTCATTCCCATCGTCCGCTACGTTCACATCAAAAACACATTTTTATTATTTTAATTAAAGTCTTATTTTATTTTATATCATAATATTTTACATTAGCTTTTAGTTTGAGTGTCAAAAACGATGGTCTTTTGGGATACAGATCCAGTGGATCCCTGCGCCGCCAAAACCAACGGTCTTAAGGCGGCCGTGAACTCAAGCAACGCCTTCACCGGCATAGTGGTGCCCACACAGGGATGGCAACTGGAACTCCTTAAGATGCCATTCTCGACATCCCTGGAGGACATCCAGACTATATTCACCAAATACGGGGCCATCGATAAAGTGGCGCTCGTTTTCAGTAAGTCCTCCCCAAAAGTCGTGAGACTTATCACACGTTTTTTGTTAATACAAATGGTTTTTCGCCACAGAAATGAAGGACTCGTCGCTGAATTGCTACGTGAGTTTCGACAGGGAGTCGGACAGCCAGGACGCCCTCAAGGAAAATGGCCGTAAGGTGGGTACGGAACTCATATCTGTCATCAAATACGTGGACACCAACGGAGATAAAGGCAACAAAAGGCTGCGAACCGACGACAACTCCTCCGGAGGGGACGGCGGATGGGGTACGACGGCTGCCACCACCACCACGTCGTCGGACGGTTGGGGCTCATCATCCGGTGGTGGAGGCGGCGGCGGTTGGGGCGACAGCAGCTCCGGCGACAGTTCCCGTGGAGGAAGAGGTGACGGCAGAGGTCGTGGTGGCCGTGGAGGAGGGGGCGGAGACCGAGGTTGTTTCAATTGCGGCGAAACGGGACACATGTCTCGCGAGTGCCCGCAGCCGAGGAAAGGCGGTGGCGGTGGTTCTCGGGCCTGCTTCAAGTGCGGCGAAGAGGGCCACATATCCCGCGACTGTCCGAAAGGGGGCGGCAGAGGGTGTTTCAACTGCGGCGAAGAGGGCCATATGTCTCGCGAGTGCTCCAAACCACGAGCCCCCAGAGGGGGAGGGTATGAATATAGTGGTTGTGTTGGGTAACTTGTATTTAATGGTTGGGTTTCGTTTGGTTTAGACGCGGACGCGGACGCGGAGGTAGAGGTGGCGGCGCCTCGTCTTCAGGCGGAGGTTGGGGTGACTCGTCTTCGGGAGGCGGAGGCGGTTGGGGTGACAGCGGATCCACAGCCACCTCATCGACCACTACCACGGCCTCCGATTCCTGGGATTAAGGATTGGTTTTAGGATTGTTTTCTTCAAAAAGTTTTTGTTTTAATTTCACGTGTTTTTATATACATTTTATTAAGTGTTTGCAAATATTCTCTATAAATATGTTTCTTAAATGAGTTCTTATATAATATTAGATATAATATAATATGAATAAATAGCTATTGAAAAGTGATTTATGAATGTGTTTGAAATAATTTTCTAGTTGCTGAGTTTACTTATGGCTAATATTATACATTATTTTGGTTGTTCAGTGTCCGGGTGGTGGTGTCGGGTGGCCTCCCGATACTCGGGGGGCGGTGTGTAGTGGAGCTGATAGGGTGGCGGCGCCTCATTGGGCATATGAAGGGGTATGGCCTCGGGATAGGGTCGGAAGGCGTCCCTATTTTGCGGGATCAGTGTCTGTAATATCCGGAGTGTCATCATCTGCTCCCTATGCTGTTCGCACCGGTTGTGTGCTGTTCGCCATTGAATTCTTGGCAGACAATCATAAGTAGTAAAACATTTGCAGAAAATATTTATGCTATTCATAGGGAACGGAATCTCAACTCACGATCTCTTGTTTTCCTTATGACAGGCGTATATCGTGGCCATCAGTAGGACGATAACACCGGCTACTATAATACAGGTGACCGCGTAGTGGAGTTTCCCCATATCCTCTTAAGGTGTAGGTGTGTGTGTATGACATGTTTGACATGTTTGAGAAAGTGTACTTGTTTATTATTTGTTGTTTGATTAGTGATATATATATTCTTATCGTTAGACAACTCACTCATTCCCAAGCATTGGTTGAGTTCACAAAATGCGAGATTTATGTTGCAATCGATTGTATCGCAAATGTTTACTACCAGAGAGTTAATAGTGAATAATAGTAATCATATAGTAATTGATAGGAATTTGTGAGAAATTATACTATTTTCTGGATTTATATTATTAGATTTATGTTGCAATCGATTGTATCGCAAATGTTTACTACCAGAGAGTTAATAGTGAATAATAGTAATCATATAGTAATTGATAGGAATTTGTGAGAAATTATACTATTTTCTGGATTTATATTATAATCTAGCTAATTTTGTTTCATGTAATACAAACCCGTTTTGTTTGAATTGTACTCAAACGCGAACCGTTTGATATCCAGTAGCGACGAGTTGCTGAACAATTGATTTGCCATAAACTCATAATGGGTTTGATTATGATTACTATCACACACTATAAATGCCATCATTTGTACACTAATTACTAGTAACTGAAACCAAACACAATTAATAACACAGGAGACACTTTTCATCGCCAATCTTAACATAGTTTTTGTGTTTCGGTTGAGAATATTCTGTCGCAAAATATGTGTAAAACTTTTTGTCGCAAACTTTTTTCTCGTAGTATTTAATTAGTTATTTTGTTTTCTCTCGTTTGACAACAACTAGTGAGAGAGAAAACACACACAAAACTCATTGTATTATATGTGTTGAGAACGTGTTTCACAAATATATATATATAAGTAATATAAGTATTTATTTCACTTGTAATTAAAGGCTACGTTTCCCTCCCGATTATGTCATCTCTTGGCAACTCTTACATTGAGATAACGACTAAAATAGAGCGCATCCGAGCCCTCTATTTCAGGGTATAAACAGCCGTTCCCTTCGCGTATGGGTTTGCGAGGCAACCATTAAGTGATTGTTTGCAGTTATCGTCAGATGATTACCACTTTTTGTCTGACGATGTCTTGTATACATCGACACAATTACTTACACTAACAAAACACTCCTATCTTATAGTGTTTGTGGTGTTTGAACAGCACTTTCCTTAAGTTTTTCTATTCAT